ATGAGTACCCCCCCCCCCCCCCCTCACCATATTCTCGGTTGCTGCCCCCCCCCTCCCACAGTACGAGGAGCGCTCATCATCGTCAAACATGATCGACCTCGCGGACGAAGAGTTGACGGCGTCGGCATCGGGCGGGCGAGGGGTAGGGGACAGAGGGGGCTTCAGCTCACCCTCCCCTCACGGAGGTAATAGCCAGCGGCGAGCGGGGCTGGGGCAGCGAGGTTGGGGCGGGCAGCAGCCACGGCGGGGCAGCAACGGGGAATATTACTTCAGTTCGATGGGTAGCGGTGGCGGTGGTAGCATCGGCGGCGGCGGCGGCGGTAGCAGCGGCCGGGGCGGGAGAAGAGTCAGAGCGGGGCCGTCGCGAGACGCCCAGGGGGGGCACAGCGGCGGGGGGAGGTGGTCGTCAGCGTCTCGGACGCTGCCTCGGGGGATGCTCTTCAACCCGAACGCGGGGGCGGGGGCGGCGGGAGCAGCGGATGGGCGGCAGCAGCAGCACCACCCCCAGGGTCCCGGTTCGCCGGAGGAGAGCGAGGGCGAGCAGCAAGTCAGGCACCTGCTGAGGGTGAGGCAGGCCATGCTAGGTGGGGGCAACGCCGGGATGGGGCTTGTTGGCGGCGGCGGCGGTCGCAGCAGCAGCGGCAGCAGCCGCAGAGCAAACGGCAAGCTAGTCAGCGGCGGTGGCGGCGGCGGCGGCGGCGGCCCTCCTTCCGCTTCTCGTGTGACGAGGTCGGAGCAGCATCTGGGCGGCGATAGGTGGCAACAATCGCGGAGCAACGACGGAGATGGCGCCGCTCTCGACGAGGAGGGCGGGCGCCCCACGGTAGGCCGCGGCGACAATGATTACGACGGTAGCGGTGACGGCGGAGGGGCTGAAGACGGCGGCGACCTTGCGGAGGAGGCGGGAAACTCGGCCGCGGCAGCGCGGGAAATGGCCGCACAGGAGGAGGAGGAGGAGGAGGAGCAGGAGCAGGAACGGGAGGAGCTTAGCATTGGCGGCGACGGCGGGTCTGCCGACGACGAAGCAGCCGAAACTTTCGCTTCCGCTGCTGCTGCTGCTGCCGCAGATGCTCCCATGAGTGTCGAAGCCGTTGCTGCCCCTCCTGCTGCTGATGCTAGTGCCGGCGAGGTCGACGGCGGCGGCAGCGACGCCCGGAGTTCTGACGGCGGGGCAACGGCAGCAGCAGGCGCTGCGGGCGGCGATGGTGCTGCCGACGACGACGAAGACGACGACGGGTACGACTTCAGCGACGACGAAATGGGGACGAGAGGCGGGGGGGGCGATGAGCACGCGCACAAGAGACCGCGTGTGGAGTGAAAGCATTTCTCTGTCATCGGCAACAGGCCTCTGCTTGGGGTTTGAGTAAATGAAGGTGGCGTGCCTGATGGGGTTTTTGCATGCGTGCGAACGCAATTGCTTCACTTCGGTCTGGGCTTGAGTGAAGAAAGTTGAGCGTTCTCAACGGTGTCTATAGGTTGTGGCCGAATGTTCCACCGGCATCTGGGGTGGAGCGGGAGGGGTTCGTTAGCTCCGTGGGGTCCCAAAAGGGGCTTTCGGCTGGCGTGTGTTAAATAGTGGGTTTGGCACATGGGAGCGTTCTGTTTGGCATGACATTTTTTCTGTTCTTGTGAAGGCGTTATTGACGCGTCGTGCCATATTTAAAAGGAGTGAGTCGATGGGGAAAATGTAGACGGAAGAGAGAAATCCCGCACAATGCTTGCGGTGTGTACACGGGCACTTACAGGGAAAAGACATGGGTGATGCACTGAAGCTCAAGCGCGATTGGCCAATATTCTGGGGCGCACTTGATCATGGCTTGATTTTTCTTTGGTCTACAGTAGCGTTGGTTGGGCAGACGAGCCTCGCTGACGCGAGGCGAGGCGGGGTGTTCGTTGTCTGCTGCTGNGCAGACGAGCCTCGCTGACGCGAGGCGAGGCGGGTTGTTCGTTGTCTGCTGCTGTAACGCCAGCTTACATCCGCCACGAGATTGATGCCCTTGTTTCTGATTTTCGGGAAGTTCACGTGGTGCGACAGGACAACCCACCTTCCACCTTTCCTTCTTAGTAGTTTGACTGTCACAAAACTTTGGTGTCGTGTGTGAATACTATCGATCCCAATGACTCCCCGATGTTGTCTCCATTCTTTTTACTGTATCTTCTCATTTGTTTATTGTCAATGCGGTTATCTCGTCGTGCTACACCGCACAACTTAAGCATCCATCGCCAGTCAGCGGTGCCGAGCCTCCCCTCCGGTGTTCATGCTTTCTTCCCGAAGCTTGTGAGGCCCTGGTGCTGCATCATTCCGTGTTACTCACGCAGCAAAGTGCGTAGCCAGAATATACGTGGACGCAGCCTTGCTTGAATTTTCTGCACGCCCAGAAGATCAGGCAAGCATGATCTCGTTTCGTATCGATGCTTCTCCCAAGATCCTCACTTTTCACTCTCGCTTGTTTTACGACAGTAACTCGTGCAGGCGAGATCACTGCCCCCTCAGGAATGCGGCGTAATTTGTTTGAATGCGGCGTGATTTCCATTGAACGCGGCGCGCGGCTCTAGGCTCGCGGCTCAACCACCAATTTCTCCAACTGGACACTGGCGTGCCCTCTGCAGCGTTGATCCTGCATGGGCAGGGTGTGCATTCAATAAAAACCGATGGCGATGCATGTGAGCTGCTTGAAGCTGCGGGTGTGTCGCATGGATCGGGGATCCGTCTGTGTCCAAGCGCTACTCTCAGCAGAGTGTATCTTTGTATCTAATCTACCGGGGTAACTACTGCCTCTGCCTGCACCCGAGACGAAGACGAAGGGTCAATTCCCTCCCTCTGGATAACTATCACTCATTCATGATAAAATAATTTATTCCGAATCCTGCCGACAATGATGATGTGTTGTTACATGCACTCGTGAGGTACAACGGAGGAAGTTGGCCAAAATAGGGCGGCTTTCGTGGACAAAAAATGTCTTCCCCTCCCTCCACACGGCTTTTCTGCTCTCCGCCTAGCCCATCAATTTGCGTTGGGCTTTCGTATGTGATGCATGCGGCGTTGCCCGGGGCACTCTTATCTTGATCCACGGGTGCTGCTGATTGGGCACGCTTTGATTCGCCTCCGCGCAATGCCTTTTTCTGTTTAGTTTTAATTTCATCAATAAAATCCATGGTACGACTTCTCCTGCTGCGATCAAGGCCGCCGTGATGGCCTTCCTTGTCCTGGTCGGTGTGGCAACGGCAGGAGCACTTCCTCTCACAGAGAGAGAGGAAGACTGGTCTATCCTAGACGCCTGCCGACGACCTTGCAGGGCTGAGCGAGCGGCGGTACTCCCGGCGACGACCTCGCGAGACATGCCTGGCGGAGGGCTGATGCCCACAGCAGGAGGCATTTGAGGCCGTCCTAACCCATAACCAGCAGCAGCAACTGCTTCCCCGCTCGTCTGGAACCGTGAACGAAGGGACCCAACCCTCCTGGGCCTTGATACCCGCGGTGTCACACTGTTTTGGTCGGCCATGGTGGATGTTTGTCTGCTGTGTACGGCCTCTGCTGTTGTTGTGTACGGCCTCTGCGGTCGTCGGGAGCGGTTTGACCACCAAAATCGCAGAAATCGCAGGTTTTTTCAATTTTGTGCTCTGCTTCGTTTAAAACGCCCGCAATTATTTTTCTGCGATCCGGGGTCTGAAACCTGCGATCGCAGGCAAAATTCCGAGATCGTTTTAGGACGACCCTAAGATAGAGCAATAAATCCTTAGCATCAGCGGAAATTCTGTTTTTCCACGATTTTCCGAGCAGCACCCAGCAGTGATCTCTCCCCCGTGGGTAAGACAGTTTGGTAGCCATCTGGTGTATCTATCTGTATGTTATGGTGGGAAGGTGTAGGGGGAAGAGGTTGAGTAGTTGGTTCATTTCTTTTGTTGAAAGAAGCATAACGAATTCCCCTGTTCCACAGGCAGACAGACCCCACAGAAAAGAATATATATATTCAAACGCCAGTAGAAATGATCCATTTCTTTACCGGACAAATAAAATATAGTGTGTTCCACCGTATGCATACGCATACTACGTTTCCCCGAGCAGCACGCAGCGATGTCTCCCCTTTGCCAATAACAGGCTCGGCAAGACGTTACAGTCTATGTTGAGAAGGCGTAGAGGAGACGTCAATTTTGGGAATATTTCGGGCGGGTGTTCGTGGTATGTTGCCCCCACGAAAAAGCAGCACACGCGTACACACACACGCCCGAACTGGTTGTGGATGGTTCTTGGCAACGCAATCGACGCGAGGAACGTTCGTCGGGGATCGGGATTATTTCCCTTTTCCTGATCGGCGGGTGCCGCCCCTCTCCCTCCTCACTGCACAGATACTGCTGCCGCACGTACGTGCTTGCGTAAGAAAGGGAGAATGGGTCAAGGCCAGGAATAAAAATCTCCAGAGCTAGAGCGCAGGTGCGTTCTGCCTTTCAGCGAGTGCGGAGAGCCGATCGTACGTTCTGGCTGTGCGGCGCTCGACCACCTGGTGTAGACTGTTGACTTCTTCTCTGTTTCAACTGCAACATGAAAGATGCATGCCCGTCTCCATCCTATTCTATGTACTGTCGTCCCGCAACCAACAGAACAACCGCATGTGTTGTGCGCTGCCCCTGCAGCCTGTCTGTTGGAAGAGGCAGACGAGTTGAAGGAACGCACATCTGGTCGTTTCCCTCGTGGGGCGCCAACGGCCGTACGTACTCGGTCTTCGTCCAAGCGAAAAATTCTTCAAGGATTCGCAACCTTGACACTACATAGACTAGACTACATGATCTAGACTAGTCGACATGTGTTGCCTGATGTGCTGTCGCCGGACAAATTCGTGGCGCACTAGCTGAGAGAATTGTAAATACATCCAATTTCCTTGCGCTACGAAAGGTCGTTGATGTTAAAGGTCTGATATCGATGGAGGCTGCCGAACCTTTACCTCTCGAAAGGGAGGGTGGCTGATGATTTGAGTGATCTTCTCCGGGGGAGGTGGCTTGGAAACAGCGTGTACAACTGATGTGTGGCACATGGTTCTAGTTGTTGTTTGTTTCGCAGTTGGGATGAGCAGCAACCGTTCACAAACATGTTGAAAAAGGATAGACTACATAGACTAATCTACAGGTATACATTTTATGTGCGTTTTGTCGCTTGGAACTGCACCGTCAAGGGCAACTCTCTTGATGCATAGACCGACGACGGACCGTCCCGGTCTCCATGTCGGAACCGCTCGAGTTGCCAGAGAGTTCTTCTCACTGTTACGTGTAGTAGTGCGTTCTCTACATTAAGCAGTGACAGGACTAGTTTATGTGGATTTCATTTTTTTTGTTGTGGTGGAACCGGACTCGATGGGCGGGACAAAGCAGGATGTTGGGATGGTGAAGAATTGACCGCTCTTTGACCTGCTACTTACCATACCGAAGAGCCAGCCATCCACAGAGAGAGAAACTGTGCGTACACCGGTGGACAATCCGGAGTTAGTATCGGTTTCTCGCCCTCCCCCCCCTCTCTGATCTCCGTTGGGTTTGCTCTCTCTGTTTGCAGTCTCCGTGGGCCTTATTATTGCCGCTGCGCCCCGTTGCCCAGGTCCTTACAAGCAGGTGACATCATTGTGATTATTTTTTCACAAACATCGTGTGCGGTATGCATACCAGGTACACACACCTTCGGGACCGTTCGCATTTAAGAGCTACTCTTGGAATTCACGTGGAGCGAAGGTCGGCCTTGCTACTAAGGAGGGTTCTTAACGATTCTTCGGTTTGTTGGAATATGCCGACTGGCTTTCGGAGAAATCCGAACGGACCGCCTGACGTTTCTTAACGTCAGGCGGTCCATTTTTTGAATTTCTCAGACTTTTCGGTTTGAAAACGTACAGCATTTACACACCACAGCCTTCAGGCAGGCGGCAGCGCCAGCGTACAAACATGCAGAGCGACGAGAACAGCGGACCTACCGGCGGCAGGCCGCCGAGGGGCCATCGCCGACCCGCGAGATACGACAACACAGGCGAAAGTGGTGCTGCCTGTGGTCATGGGTTGGGTCATGGGTTGCAGCAGTCTGCTGCCGCCGTTGATGATGACAACGGCCGCGGCCGCGACCCTCTCCCGAGCCACGCCTCTCGCCGGCTGCGCGTGGCCGCCCCCGCCGCTGCCGTAGAAGCGGAGGGTTCGCGATGCCCCCTTACGATGCTGTCGCAAGCTGCCGGGGTCGCCGGGTTTGCTACCACGACAACCACCGCAGCAGCCATCGCCCGCATCACGGAAAGCGGGTTCATCTCCAGGCTGCGACGCTTTCGCCGCCTTTGCTCCGCGAAATCTGCAGATCCACAGCGCTTTCCGTGACCATCCATGGTCTACAAGCTTACAGGCGACACAAGCAAGCCACCTGGGGACTGTCCCCGAGATCTGGAGTGCGAGAGGGTGCTCAGCGTGCTGGCGACTGCAGTGCAACTCGAGTGCTCCCATTTCGGAGTCATTTCGGAGTTTCTCTTCGGAAAATGCCGAAAATGAAGCGGCGCCCGAAAAATTCCGACGCTTCATTTTCAGCATTTTCCGACAAGAAATCGGCATTTTCCGAAAAAGTAGGGCGCATGTCGGCATATTCCAACAGAACAAATCTCGTTAAGAACCCTCCTAAGCAAGAGACTCCCGAGGGCGAGAAAACGACTTTGATTGATTGCGCTGGGAGAGGGAAGTAGAGGGTTTGGATGGCTCTTTGATCCCGTTCTTCGACTTCCCAGCCATACGACGGTTGACGAACCCTCAGTGCCTGCTACGTTGTGAACCATTGCACTACGGTACAACAGTACCGAACGCTCTTCGGGCTCGGAGGTTTGAAACAAAAATGGAACGGCGCGAAGCCTGTAACAGTAACGGAATGCAGCAAGATCGCTTTGTCGGGTAGTTTAGCAGTGATCTGTTCTCAACACGGCCTCAACATCATAAGTGGACCAGCATTGCACGTTGTCGTCGGCACCGCCAGCCGAAAACGACAACGAAAATCCTCCTACATCCCCTCCAACCTTCATTCTATCGCGGTTGGTCCCAGCAGGTGAAAACTTGCCCCCACCGCTTTGGAGTGAATTTCCGCGGTCTACACGGCAGTGAGTGGTCGACGGACCTCAGTACCCAGCATGGCGACAGAAGATTGGCGGTGGCAGGTGATGCTGGATTGGTGATTTTTCTACAGACAGGCAAACTCATTGCGCAACGACATGGCGACGTTCGCCGGTGGGGCATTTGTCATCCTTGCGAAGTTGTGTCGTCGTGGGCTTGGCGGCCACCCCTCCTCTTCCCATCGTAGGCATATAGAGTGTTGTTGCAGTTCTAGACTAAGCAAAGCGACAGATGAGTCAGTTGCCTCAAATGAAGGAGAAGTTCCGGCCGAACGTTCCCCGATGCTCCGCTCCGCCGTTCAACAATTCGATTGTCGTTCAATCCCATGAGCATCACAACGGTCGCGAACCCATGGACAGCATCCAACCACGGCTTTGCGCAGAAGATTCGCCCCCAACTTTGACTCAGCGGACCTTGCCCGCGGGAAAAAATCGTCCACCGCGTCGCCCCCGGCGATCCGATCCACTGGCGGTTGTACAGATGCCCGCAGTAAAGAACTTGGTAGTTAAGATTTAGATACATACCTGGAGAACTCCAAGCACAAGAACATGAGCACCCTTTGTGAGCCCGGGTAAGAACCCTGACGCTCAACCTGTCTGGCGGCCATTGGAAGCCTATGAGGGGACCAAAAAAAAAACTTGGCAAAAACTAGAGGTCCTTGTGCGGGCGTTGTCTGTAGTTGTTCACTACTAAATCTGTTCTTCTTGCTGCTGACAGGGAGGGGGACCGGCGAACGAGAATATGAAGGGCGTCGCCGCCGGGGGCAACGGGACGATCGTTGCAGTTGGTCGAACGGATGGCGATTTTTTCCCCTTTGCCAGCCTGGGCGGATTTGACTTCTTGGCGGTGAAGATCGGACCAGACGGGCTGTACTTGTGGCATTGGCAGGTCAGGGCAGTCGTTGGCGGCGTTGAGACATTTACATGGTTGTTCCCCCCGCGTTAACTGTTCTGCTTGCAGGAGGCGCTTTACTGCTCTCGGTTTGCCGACGTTGCGCATGAACGAAGAAAACTAAAATAAAAGTCGTTTGCTGTTTGTGTTAAGACTCTCGCAAGAAGCGCTCTCCGATCGTTTCATGACAGGTGACGCGTGCCGGACCGCGTTTGTTCCAGCTCTCCTTGCCAACTCTCCCAAGGGTAGACGAACAGGGACGTTCGTTTCACACGGGTTGGAGTCAAGCCTCTATGCACACCATCGACACCGCCCCCTAGTACCTAACCCCCCCCTCTGTGAAGCATCTTGGAGGCCAAGGTATTCACGCCGAATACCGTCAGTCGGGTTACCCCCCGCCACCAAACCTGGAGAGGACATCCCGTTCCGATAACGACATTCCCGCGATTCCATCTTGTCCCCGACACGAAGCATCGAGGGAGGCGAGAGAGACTCCCGTCCGCTTCGACGTTGCACCAGCACCATGTTTTCTCTCGCGTTTTCGCCGCTGCGTGTGATGCCACCACGCTCGTGTACCAGGACGGCACCAGCGACGAGGACAACCTGAACGATGCCGTCGTCAACTCGGACGGGTCGGTCGTGTTGGCCGGAAGCACCGAGGGTGACTGGGGCGGTACAAACGCCGGGCTCGGCGACTTCGCGGCCGTTAAGCTCGACGAATCCGGAGCGGTTCTGTGGAAGTGGCAGGTAGTTGTGAAACGCGAGGCGGAGAAAGTAAGTATTATTTTTCCATGGAAAATCCGCAGGAGATCGTGGCGAGGGGACGGGGAATGTGTACCGCGTTGGCGGAAGATCAATTACGAAACGATCGACGTTGGTAGATGCACGAAACGAAAAACCGCGAGTAGATGTACAACACTATGTTTTCGGTTCACCTGTGTGCCGCGCCAAAAACAAACCTTGGCAGAGCGGTACATCTGACGACGAGCTTCTCGTGGGGATAACTTCCGCCAATAGCGCTAGCGGGAGCGAGGTCGTGCTAGTCGGCCGAACGGAGGGGAGTTGGGCCGCGAGCAACGCCGGCGGGTACGACTTCTGCGCCGCGAAGCTGGATGCCGATGGCAACGAGCTCTGGTCGTGGCAGGTAAAAGATGGGATTGTTATGGAACTGGCAAGATGGGGCAGCTATCCTTTCGTCAAGGCTTCGATGGTGTTGCTACCCCTGGATGACAACACTCCCGGAAGATATTTTCGAGAAGAAACGGCTCCTTTCTTGTCGATGCGGGATGTTTCGTCTACGTTTGCGGTTGCTCCTGATCGGCGTATCATATGGGACGTCGTCAATCGCCCACCTGAGACAGGCATTCTTGGGGCTTCTGTTGCCGTCGCCACCCTGATGCAGCGAACGTTCGGCAGCGCCCGCCCGTTCTGATCACGTCCGGCAATAATGCCTTCACGTCTGTCTGTCTCTATCGTTCTATCCCTCTCTGTATTTGTCTGCCTGTCCGTCTGTCCGTCTGTCCGTCTGTCCGTCTGTCTGTGTCCTGCCCGCCTGCCTGCCTGGCTACATGTCTGTCTGTTGGCCTCTGCCTGTCTGCCTGTCTGCCTGTCTGCCTGCCTGCCTGCCTGCCCGTCTCTCCCTGTCTCTCTCTCCCTCTCTCCCTCTCTCCCTCTCCCTCTCCCTCTCCCTCTCCCTCTCTGTCACTCTGTCGCCTCTCCCCCCCACCCCTCTATCTATCGTATTCTCGCGGTCATCCTGTCCGTCTCCAAAAGGACGGCACGGGCGCCGACGACACCACGAAAGCGGTTGCCGTGGACGGGGACGGCTCCGTCTTCCTCGCAGGCTATACGGAAGGCGACTGGAACCAGCCCAATGAAGGCGAGACGGACTTCGCCGTGACCAAGCTAGAGGCCAACGGGACCCTGGCCTGGCGGTGGCAGGTAGGCACAACCATTCCGCGGTGTAGTGACAACCGTCACAAAAACGCGGCATGTCGGGGAGGCGCTCTGTTGGAGGAAGATCCCTCAACAGTACTTGCCAAGGAATGTATTCCGCCACGGATCGGGAGCCGCGTTCATCGGGACCGCGATGTTGTGGGCACCACACCATTGTCTGTGTGTACAGAGACGACATAGAGATCGTTTATCACCAAAGGCCTTGGCGGAGTGGTGTTTTTCTGTGGTCGTAAGGTGTGCAGAAAGCCTTCGGTGCGTGTTCTCCAGCCTTGCTGCATAGGTACGGCCGGTAGCAGGAGAGGGTGTTCGAGTTTCCATAGCGTGGCCTGTCGGGAACGTTTAGGTATTCACTGCCCTCGCTGAACCACATGAAAAAAAGAAAAAACACCCACAAAAAAAACGGCAATGACGAAGAATTTTTTTCTCGATAGCACACCGGACCGCGGGATATGGTGGGGACGTACTAATGTTTTACGTGCCTTAACGGTTACACCATTGACCCCCACGCGTCCTCGAAAGGACGGAGCCTTGTTCCTACAGTAGTACCGATCACCAGTATTGCTTTCTACTTTGCCAAAGGTGGGCTAAAAAAATGTCTCCCTAGCCTGTCTGTCTTACCGATACCATGTCTTTCCTTTTCAGCCAACCTCCGATGCCCCAATATAGCTACCGTCTTCTCATGGCTGGTCCATGCCTCCAACATTGCTCTCTACCCTCCTCCTACACCATTCATATACATTCCTCTCTCCTTTCCGAAAATCGGACATGCTGCAACGACATGAACCCGCTTTTCACTCCCGAAGCCGCAATCACAGTTGAACTTGTCGTCGTCATCATCATCCTTCGGGATGTGGTGGTCGGGGGGTGTGGGGGGGGGGGGGGGGGGGGG